TTCAGCATGCTGGTGTTCTGCAGTGTGTGGGTCACCTTCCTCCCCGTGTACCACAGCACCAAGGGGAAGGTCATGGTGGCCATGGAGGTCTTCTCCATCTTGGCCTCCAGTGCGGGGCTGCTGGGCTGCATCTTTGCCCCCAAGTGCTACATTATTTTGTTAAAACCTGAGAGAAATTGTCTTACTGGGATCAGGTATAAAATACATTCTGTCTGAAAGGAGCCTTCTTATCATTAAACATACATTTTCTTTTATACACAGAGGACCTGAATTCAAAGCTGTACCATATGTGAAGTCAGATGCTATCGTCTACTACAGGACTTTTATCCTTACTAAATGATGCATCTTCTTTTTCTAATAGTGTAATGTTTACTAGAAACTGTAGTCCTCATCCATTTAGGTTGATTTTTTTCTGGATATTTTGATGCCTATTAAGTCAGATTTCATCCTATTTTTTCTATGCTTGCACTATCCACTTTTGTCTTCCTTTTGGCTTTCCCAGTATTTTTGTCATTTAAAAAAGACAATAAATTCTTTCCCATATGTCACTACCTTTCTGAATCCTTTAATATGTTTTATTACTTTTGTCTTTTGAAGGAGGAGCCTGCGTTCACTGTGCTAATTATAGTCTGGTTTGATAGTTATGTGTATATTTGTCTTCTTGCATTTTCCTTTTGCAATTAGTTAAATTACTTTTACATATTCTGTCTCACATGACTTTTAGGATTCTAGAATTGGTTGGTCATATGCAGGTGTATACACCATTGATTATATGATGGCAATATACTGAACTGATGGAGTACTCCGTGGAAGAACTTGTAGATATGCGCTAGAACATCTTTCCATCTCAGATTTATGTTTGCTTTTATCATTACTAAGCAGCATCTATTGACAGCTATATACATGTATGATGTACAATTGCATTATTATATGCAGTTTTACTTTATATACTTTATTCAAAAAATGTTCTTTTCATGTTTATACCCAGGTATTGAAAGGGTTTTCAGAGAATGTGATAGGAAATGTTTTAAGTGCCATATGTTCTTTACTGTTTATGAACATATGGATTCCGGTTAATGCAGCATGGAGGTACACCCACGTGATCCCTGCACTCTGAACAGGGAGGCCAAAGATTGGAATGTGAGCTCAACCTGGGGTACTTAGAGACTTAACAATCTTCTGCCCAAAATCAATATTAAATAACGTAGTGCTCTGTTTGTGCATATCCAGTTTTGGCTTCTGAGTTATTATTTTCTGTTTAAATGTTTAAATTTCAGAATTCCACTAATAGGGCTTGGGATATAGCTCAGCAACACAAGCGCCTGCTTGGCAAGTGCAGGGTCCTGAGTTTGATTCCTGGTACCCCCCAGAATAAAAAAATAAACCAAAAAGAATTCCACTAATAACATTAAATACTTATTTCTGATTAAAACATCAATTGCTCACGGGTTGTAGGTCTTTGACAATGTTGAGAGTATATTTGTATAAAATATTTGGTATCACTTTTAAATGAATGTGAGAATATTTCCCCTTTGTATTGATTTCTGAGTCTGCATATGCAATAGAGGTTTTTATTGGAGGGACTAAAAGAGTGATTATAAGGATGGGTGGGTGGAAGAATGGACAGGTGGGTGGAAAGGGTATTAAAGGTAAAAAGGGGTGAGTAGAGTTCACCGATCCATTAATGGGACAAAAGAGTGAAGGAGAATGAGGAAGGAAACACACAAACAAAATGGAGGCTTGGAGAGTTTTAGTCTTTTCTTGCTTTCTTCAGATGACTCTAATATATTACATCAAAACCTCAATACATTTGAACTCTGAAATATAAGAAATTGTGACTGTCCCCATCTGAAATGAATTTATGGAAATAGAACTGCCGCCCTCCTATTCTCCTCAA